GACTTAGTGTGCTGCAAGCAAAAGGGATTGAAGTGAAGGTTATCGAACTCTAGGACTTAGTGTGCTGCAAGCAAAATTGTAATTGATGAAGTCTTAATCCAGCTTACTTATGGATTTGTCATCGTATGCCTTGCCTGATGAGGTATTTCTATTTGATAATACATGTAGTGCATTCTGGTTTAAGGGGAGAGGTATGTTCATGTTCACATCTAAATTTTACTGCTTGTGGCTGTCAATCCATTCTAATTTACCTGATATAAAGAAGAATATTACTGATGAACTACATGAATTGTTTAGGCTATTTGTAAAAACCAAATATAAGCTTGCTCATGCATTTTCCAAAACCAATTACTTGCTTGTTTTAGCTATTTCTGAAACCTTATATAAGCTTGCTCTTGCTATTTCTAAAATCCACTATAAGCTCGTTATTGCTAGCTCTAAAGCCAAATATGAGGTTAAGCTTGCTATTGCTATTGCTAAAATCCACTATAAACTCATTATTGCTAGCTCTAAAGCCAAATATAAGGTTAAGCTTGCTATTGCTATTGCTAAAATCCACTATAAGTTCATTATTGCTAGCTCTAAAGCCAAATATAAGGTTAAGCTGGCTATTGCTATTTATAACACAATTTAAGCTCATTCTATCAAATTCTTAAGTCAAATATGTGCTTAAGCTTGCAATTGCTGTTTCTAAATCCTTAAATTAATTAAAACCTAATATAAGGTTAAAGCTAGCTATATATTGCTATTTCTGAAATCCAATATAAGCTTAAGCTTGCTATTGCTATTTCTAAAATCCTAATATAAGCTTCTTTAAGACACATTCTGGTCACACTAACACATTCTGGTCACATTCTGGTCACACTAAAACATTCTGGTCACACTAACACATTCTGGTCAAACTAACACATTCTGGTCACACTAACACATTCTACACTAACACATTCTGGTCACATTCTGGTCACACTAACACATTCTGGTCACACTAACACATTCTGGTCACACTAACACATTCTGGTCACATTCTGGTCACACTAACACATTCTGGTCACACTAACACATTCTGGTCACACTAACACATTCTGGTCACACTAACACATTCTGGTCACATTCTGGTCACACTAACACATTCTGATCACATTCTGGTCACATTCTGGTCACACTAACACATTCTGGTCACACTAACACATTCTGGTCACATTCTGGTCACACTAACACATTCTGATCACACTAACACATTCTGATCACACTAACACATTCTGGTCACACTAACACATTCTGGTCACACTAACACATTCTGGTCACATTCTGGTCACACTAACACATTCTGGTCACACTAACACATTCTGGTCACATTCTGGTCACACTAACACATTCTGGTCACATTCTGGTCACACTAACACATTCTGATCACACTAACACATTCTGGTCACACTAACACATTCTGATCACACTAACACATTCTGGTCACACTAACACATTCTGGTCACACTAACACATTCTGGTCACACTAACACATTCTGGTCACATTCTGGTCACACTAACACATTCTGGTCACACTAACACATTCTGATCACACTAACACATTCTGGTCACACTAACACATTCTGGTCACACTAACACATTCTGGTCACACTAACACATTCTGGTCACACTAACACATTCTGATCACACCAACACATTTTTTTCATTGTGTCAGACTCTGCAATTTCAGTTGTAAGGTTAGACAATTCCTATACTTGGGATGGTATTTTTCAAAAAAGCAAAAAAAAAATCATTAAAAATTCTGTGTGTTGTCATGGTCACTGTGTCCTTATATTAGGTGAGACTCATTTTTTAGTCTATTTTTCTGGATGATATAAGATGAGCCTCCTAAATGATTTCCAGTTTACTTGCCACCAGCTATGATAAAGTAAAATTGAGACCACACCTCATGACCCCCATGACTGTTTATATCTGGGGAAATGAAATTGAGACCTTGACCCAAACTGACTCTCATGGCTGTTCTTATCAATGGAAATAGGATTGAGACCTTGACTCAAACTGACCTTCATGGCTGTTCTTATCTGGAGAAATAAGATTGAGATCTTGACTCAAACTGACCTTCATGGCTGTTCTTATCTGGGGAAATAAGATTGAGACCTTGACTCAAACTGACCCTCATGGCTGTTCTTATCTGGAGAAATAAGATTGAGATCTTGACTCAAACTGACCTTCATGGCTGTTCTTATCTGGGGAAATAAGATTGAGACCTTGACTCAAACTGACCCTCATGGCTGTTCTTATCTAGGAAAATAGGATCTAGACCTTGACTCACATTGACCCCAATGGCTGATCATAGGAGAATAAACCCTGCCAGCTACAAGGAAGTCTCTAACATTTTTTATCAATTCTAACATCAAACCACAAAAGTTACGATAACTTACATGAGCATTATTGTGAGATGTTAAAGAAAGAGGAGGTCTCTTTGGTGATAAACAAGTTTGATGCCAAAAATAGCAGTTATTTATTTGCTACCATGGACATAAATGTTTGTAACTTTTTTAGGACAGAATGACAACCTGTAGCAGATTTTAAAAACAGTAGTCTTGCTTTAGATATTAATGACAGGCTGCTGAAAAAATGCAAACAAGCAGTCTTCTGTTGGAAAATGTTTTTAAGAAATGAATAATGAACATGTTTTTATAGACCAATGTAGCTTGAATGTCAGCTCTTGCCTGAATAAACAAACTGATATGATCAAAGATTCTCTAATGACTATCATCATATTTTACTTTGTAGAAGAAAAGTGTTGAAATTGGATTTGAAAAAAACATATACCTGCAGGCTTGTTAAAAAAAGTATCATGTATTTTCTGAAATCATGTAATGCTCATTTCACCAAAGGGAGATACATTAGTGAAACGGAAGTGGAAATTTGCCTTAGCTTTCCCTACCAAGTCCTAGAAATGTCACTGAAGTAATGGTTTGTTTTCTGCTTGTTACATCAGGTGCACAACAAGTCAGTTATTCTAAACATACTTGATTTAGCGCAATCAAAATTTTCGTACATTGTCGCTTTTTGGCAAATGAAGCATACTTTTGAATTTACATGCATCAATTCTACTTGTTGCTATAAATAGAACAGTCATATTTAAGACCTGAAGCACAAAAAGTGTTTAATTAAGGTTGTCGTTAAAACATGTATATTTACCATACAGTATATCCAACATTCCCAACTATGTGTTCTATATGCTTCAGTAATTCTCAAATATCACGTCTTCAAGACTCCTCAGGTTACAGGGTTTATTCTATGGACACTACGGTTTTATTTGTCAGTAGTCTGGCGAAATTTTACTGCCAACATACTGCTGTTATACGTGTACATAAATCAAAAACCTGAATCATAAAAAATGTCATATTTTTCTCAATATTATTGCATCACTATTGGTATTGCTTATCAGAATCTCAATGTTGAAAAGACGACATCTTTTATTCCTGAATTTCATCATGTCTTACCCGTTGCAGGCTTCATATGTACTGATACTGTTGAAATGCCCTACGCCATAGTGACGTTTTCGGTTCATATGCTCTCATTGTTAAGTCATGTGACAAGAATTTTGGAACAAATGACAATTATACAATATTCCAAATTTTAATTGCCAGAAAGAAGTGTCTAAATCAGTTTCGAAAAGTACTGTCTATCAGAATAGTTTTAATGGTTATGTTTGTGAAGGATGATTACAACACCCATTATAACTGGTGAGAAGATGTATTCAATTATAGAAATGTTCAAAAATTTGTTTCAAAAAGGCATGGAATGCTATGTGATACCAGGAATGTAATCTAAATCAGAAATACTGCAATAAAACTGCTGTAATGATACATAAGATTACTCTGCGGATACTCACTACCATAAACAGAACTTTACTGCATCGTGTATCAACAGAGACGAGTCACTGAACTCTGGGGATACCATTGACAATGCTTGACGTGTTGTTGATGAGGAAAATAAAACACATTACAGATATATGGAATTATGCGAAAGTGTTGTTCAATATTAACTATCTGAATGTAAGACTTTAAGTATGATTTTATTATTTTCATCAACTTGTTCATTAACATTGTCGTAAATATGGTGACATCCCTGATTTAGGGACTTGTTGTAATGTATGCTATACATAAATACATTATTAAGTAAAATTTCAGGGAGAAACATTAGCATTCATATGTATATTCAGATTTCTTATTATTTTAAGGGAATTTTTGCCTCCAGTAAAGGAGACAAGTGACTATTTTTAGGAATTTTGCCCTCTTAGAAGGGAGATCAGTGACTTATTTAAGGGATTCTGGCCTCCAATAAAGGGAGGTTAGTGACTAATTTAAGGGATTTTGCCCTCTAAGAAGGGAGATCAGTGACTAATTTAGGGGATTTTGGACTCCAATAAAGGGAGGTTAGTGACTAATTTAAGGGATTTTGCCCTCTAAGAAGGGAGATCAGTGACTAATTTAAGGGATTTTGCCTCCAATAAAGGGAGGTCAGTGACTAATTTAAGGGATTTTGGCCTCCAGTAAAGGGAGGTAAGTGACTAATTTAAGGGATTTTGGCCTCCAGTAAAGGGAGGTAAATGACTAATTTAAGGAATTTTGCACTCTAAGAAGGGAGATCAGTAACTATTTTAAGGATTTTGACCTCCAAGAAAGTAATTTTATTTGAAGGAATTTTGGCCTCTAATTTTAGGGAGATAAGTGACTAACTTAAGCGATATTGATCTCCGAGAAGGGAGATGAGTCACTATTTTAAAGGATTTTGGCCTCCAATAAGGGAGCTCAATGAATACCTGTATGTAAGAACATCGAGGCTTTTTACCTGGATCAGTGTTATAGGTGTGACACTTTTGCTGTAGCTAAGCTATATCAAGAAGATCTACTGAGAAAGAGCCACAGAGAAATCTCTCTAGTCGGGTCAGTATGATGTGTATATTCATATCAATAACCTAGTTTGATACTATTATGTTTCAGGAGTGTGACAGTCAAACCTCGGACTGGACAGTTACATCCCTCAGTAACAGCAAGAAAGACAAACTCTGTCTAGTGTGTGGGGATAAAGCTCTTGGATACAATTTTAATGCTGTCTCCTGTGAATCCTGTAAGGCCTTTTTCAGGAGGAATGCCCACAAGGTAATGGAATCAAATACAACCTTCTATAACATAGTAAAACAAGCCCAAATAGTAATTACTGTAAACATGTTTCATTTGGTGAGATTAAAGTGACTGAATCAAAAACAACCCTCTATAACATAATACAAAACAAGCCCAAATTGTTATTACTGTAAACATGTTTCATTTGGTGAAGCTAAAGTGACTGAATCAAATACTACCCTTTACAACACAACTACAAAAAATTCAGAAAAGATGATATCTGTAAACATGTTTCATTTGATGAAACTCATTATAGCACTTTATCATGTTTTGACTTTACCAGTGCATTAATGAAGATATTATTGCTGTTTCAGCAATATATAGAAATTGCAATTAACAGTATCATTATTTCAGTGCAATTATGAAAAGCACAAAGATAAGATGGAATTAAATGATTACAAGATTGCAATTAGAAAAATAATTGTAGGCATGTTTAAAATACTGTACTCCAGTTATGTAAAGCCAATATCAGTATTCTAAAACATCTACCCATCTCTGTTTATTGAAAACTTTAAGTGTCTTTGCAGACAGATCTTGACGATACTTTAGAGACATGATTTTATTTTTGAACATAATTACATTCTTGGAGACGTTTGAACTTTTTTTTATAGTTTAATCCTAAAGAATTGTCCCAAGATCTCATACAAGCAGTCATTGCAGTGTCTTTATGACTGAGGTTAAGATCCCGCCCTCCCCCCCTAAAAAATAAAAACGCCATAGTTATTTGGGTAGGTTTTTTATGTTTTAAATAATATCAGCAGGCTATGGTAACATTTGGTATTTATATCTTGGACTTGTGTTTGAGCCAGAAGTGTGATGAGACTTGCAGCTATCATTTTAAACAAGAGATAGTTGTTGTGTGTCCTTTTATTATTTTGTATTTGAAAAGGAAGCCATTAATAAGTTGCCATATGTTTCTTCTTGACCTAAATCACCTAAGATGACAGGAACTTCGATTTCTGTCATCATATGACCACAGGATTTATATCTGGTGGGAATATCCTAACAATGTGAAATGGAATTAGATTTTGATGTAGGGTGATCTCTTCATTAATAATCTGTGACAACATCTCATAGGGCTTTAACTTTTTTCAGATCTGCGCACAAAACAAATTGTTTTCTTTGTACTGTGAGGGTTATTTGCAGGACGAGGTTGACATCTTTCTTATTTTTTTTCAAAGATGGAGTAAATATTATCAATTTGAATTCACAAAGAAAATTTGATTCATCAAATAAACCACTAACAAAATATTTTTAATTACTTGTTTTATCTGATCTGAATGCTCTGTGTATTTTTGAAATATTATCTTAAAATGTTTAAAATTGTGCTGTTTTGTATATCATTATCGTCAGAGAGATCCAAATCAATTATGTTTTCAACATGTTCACACACAATTATTATTCATACATTGATGATATGGAGAGTGTCACTCATGTGATATGACATGGGGATTTAAATGTTTAAACTCTACCATTTTATGTCAGAGTCAAAGTCAGTGACGTGGTTACGCACAATATTTATATGAAAGACTTTGTTACTCATAAGACATATTTACTTATAACACAAATACATACTGATATTCGGATGAAATATTCCTGAACATTTATATATCTATAACTTAATGATGACAAACGTTCTTCATCAATTGTACTAGTCATAGCCTTATAGTAAGCATGACGTCATGGCTTAGTATAACAGATGGTGGTACGTCATAACTAAGTATACTTATTCATTTTTCATTGATTAAGTGTAACACAGCACTATCAAAATATTTCTTGATTATTGAGATTTACCAAAGTCCAGCGATAATCTTCCTATCCAGCTGATTTTTGTTTTTAATCAAATTATACGTCTTTACCAATCACAAATAAGTTTCATGGTTATATCTAATTTCTTTTTACTACAAAGGGATGTAATAAACTAAATATATTTTCTTAGATGATGTCAAATTGTAACTAATTAGAAATCAATTTTATACAAAGGGATGAATGAATTTTTAAAAAGTTAATATATAAGTTAATTAAATTATTCAAAATTGTGCTAGACCTAAGTCAGATGTTTTATCATAATGTATCTACCTGTGTTAATTTATTACTGACATCTACTGTGAACAATTATGTATTGACCAGTGGCCAGAGGTATTCTGTCGTTACTGATCTACTACTTTTTTATGTTTTGTTTTGTTCCCTGGTTGTATAAGTCATTACCTGAGGGCTATCTAAGCAGTTTGTATGATGATCAGTATAACCTTATCTTGTTGTAAACAGCTGAATCTATTGCGCTTTATATGTGTAAGACCATGTCAGTAACTCATGTATTATTCAATCCTTGGTACTCTATCAGTTATCAATAGTTTTAGTATAAATACGACCACATTTCTAGCCAGTATGTATCGGTTCTTGAAGGCATGTGAGTGTTCCATCAGCCTACATCTCAATAAACTCCTGAACAGCATTTGGACTTCTTCATCTCCACTCATCACCACACAAAACAAACTTCATTTTAGATATGCAGTATACCAAATTCAGAGCATGCAACTTGTTAATAACAGAATTTTTACCCTTTGTTAAAATTTTGTGCATAAAGCCATTTACTTGTTAATTACAGTATTTTTAACATTTGTTAAATACTACTTGAATGATATTGATGTTGGTATGTTGAATAGATTGTTCTACAAATTATCTTGATTCGTTTTCATCAGATGTACAAAATGTCCATCAGTATAATATGAAATAAGTCATTAATGAAAAATGACATTAATTTCTTGTATGAACAAGACAACTTAAGATAGAAAATCATTGGAATTGATTTCTTTACAGCTTATACTCATTATAGAAGATAAAAAGAGAAAATTTCGGGTCCAACACAATATCCATTAATGTAATTGTAATTTTGTCTCTCTGTTAGAATATATTTTCAGCTTGGATTTGTTGTTGATTGTCTGCTGGAAGCTTAATAGCCTTAATTGTGGATTTCAAGCAAAAATGATTAAAGAAGTATATAAATAGATATACAAATAGATTTGCTGCTATATAATGTCTTTTCATAACAATATTGTTTCGTTTAAACTGTTCTTTGTTTAAAACATTTATTTTGAGGGGTTACACATTGATTATTCACCAATATTAAATACATTTTTTATACCTGGTATGCAGCTTATAGACAAGGAACTAATAATATGTTTATTGTTGGCATAAATGGAGAACTATGACTGAAAAAAAAACAGTATGATGAATCACCCAATAGCAATAATATTAAGTATTGAATTTCATAACTTATTTGATTAGTACATGTGACCTTTGACCTATATATTGACCTTTCACATGACTGAAAAGTATTCAATATTAATTGAAGTTGATAATTTGATTTACCAAATATTTTGGTGACCTATGTATTGACCTTTGGCATAGCCTTACATTGTCTTGAAATGTGAAAATGAGAAGTATACAATATTGATTGAAGTTGATAATTTAGTTTACCAATGATCTTTGGTAGCCTATACATTGTTTCTTTGGTAGCCTATACATTGTTTCTTTGGTAGCCTATACATTGTTTCTTTGGTAGCCTATACATTGTTTCTTGGGAGAGCTTTACATTGTAATACAATGTACAAATAAAAAATATACAATATTGATTGATAATTAGGACCTAATTGGCCTGTGGCCTATATACTGACCTTTAGCATATGACCAATAGGACTTTTGACCTGTTGGTATTTGTCATGCAATTGAATAGTGTGAAATTGTAGAAGTGTTGATGGCTTATAATGTTATTTCAAACCCACATGTACAAGTTGACAAATGACAAAATCCTGCTAGCTGTTATGTGCCAGTTTGTTTTTCTGTGGAGATGTATCAACATTATGGGTATCACCTCTGTTTAATTCATCATCCCTACAGTCAACTTCATTCTCTTCATGACTTCATGATAAATCTCACTGAAATTTAGAATGTGAAATTTTCTGACTAATATATCTATCAGACATACGCTGCAGTGCAGGAGGAAATCATATTTTGAACCTGATTTGACATGTGACCTTTAATAACATAGTTAGGTGTAGTGCTTGCAATAGCCAGGATCATACAGAATGGTATGTTAATTTACCATATAAGTATCTACATTACTCTGATAAAATACTGAAATTGTTTATAAAGTTTATTAAAAGAACTTAAAATACTGAATATATTTTCACCCCAGGTAATTTTCACCCAGGTACCATTATACAGGAATTCGTCTCATGTTCATTTTGCTCTCTGAGGACTATAAAAGGAATGAATAAGTGTAACAATTTTCACCCTCATTTTAAATTCACCCTCCCTGATTATGGATGAAAAGGCTGAAAATTTAACGAAGGCAAAAATTTTCTGGTAAACAGTATCTGCATACAATGTGACTCACTTCAGCAGAAGTTACCTAACCTGTCAGTCAAGAAAGCATGTGAACCCATTATACAAATATAGGCCATGTTTTTGAGGTATTTAAAATTCAGCTCACTCAGTCTGTTGTTAACACAAATTTAGAATAGTACCCATAATTACAGTAATCTCGGTATGATCTTTCCTTTGATGCTGGATAAATTTAGAATAGTACCTATATTTATTGTAAAAATGATCTCCGTATGATCTTTCCTTTGATGCTAGATAAATTTAGAATAGTACCTATATTTATTGTAAAAATGATCTCCGTATGATCTTTCCTTTGATGCTAGATAAATTTAAAATAGTACCTATATTTATTGTAAAAATGATCTCCGTATGATCTTTCCTTTGATGCTAGATAAATTTAGAATAGTACCTATATTTATTGTAAAAATGATCTCCGTATGATCTTTCCTTTGATGCCAGAGCTGTAGATTCTGAATTATTAGGAGTAAATATCATTATATTATTGTCTATATTATCAGAGACTGTGTACTTGATCTAATTGTCTACATTACATAACAAGGACTGGTGAACTTGACCAAACAATGCTAGTATATGTATAAGGTCGATATAAACTTCACAGCTACAATATGATTTTCATTTGAATGAAAACAAACTGCGTTCTGAGCTGTGAAGTTGTATAAGTTTTGTCCAAATTATTCCTGATTAATGACTTTATCATCAAAGAGTCCATACATTTCTATGGTGTCTATATGTATGCATTCAGTACCTTGATATTATTCCCAGGAAATTGCTTTATATAATTTCCTTTCCAAGATGAAAGTGAGGGATATTGATCTGAACATTAAAGGATCAAAGTCTTGGTGTCATAGCAACCAATCTGAATTTCAATACTACTTAAAGACCTTCACTGGTCAATTCAATAGAAGGGGAAGTAACTCCAACTTGATTTCTTAACATCAGATACCATATCTTTGGTATGTTAATTTTTATTGATCAGACCCTGGAAACTTATTTCTAACTGAGAAGTACATATAATTTATGTATAGATTTAAATAGAAAACTTCCTTTGAAGCTGATTCAGGGCTTACTGTATGCCTGAAAGGTGCATTTTAATAGACTTAAAAATCTGTGATGCTATAAGTCGACATTATACATGAAAAGAAGAATTTTTAGCCCGCCATCATCAATATTCCAATCGCCTTATATCTGTGATTCATTTTTCTATCCGCTCGTCCTTTTGTCCGTAAACAATTTTTGTTACCGCTCTTTCGTGAGAAGTACTGGATGGATCTCTCTTGCACTTCATATGTAGGTTTACCTAAATCTCTAGTTGTCCATCTAATTTTGGGACTGATCAGAAAAACAAAATGGCTGACAGGTGGTCATCTTGGCATTTGACTTTGCAAGTTTGTTTTTGTTTTTTTTTTAAGTAGGGCTAGATATATCTCTCTCCAATTTCCTATGTAGGTTCCCCAATGTCCCTAGGTGTGCAATTTAATTTTGGGACAGATCAAAAAAATAAAATGGCAGACAGGTGGCCATCTTGGATTTTCCCTTTTGCAGGCATGTTATCAATATTTCTTAAGAAGCAGTGTATGGATCTCTCAAATTTCCTATGTTGATTCCCCTTGGTCCCTACTTGTATCCATATAATTTTGAGACTGATTAAAAAATCAAAATGGCAAACAGGTGGCCATTTTGGATTTTTTTCAATGGAGTTTGTTATCGCTATTTCTCATGAAGTACTAGATGGATTGCTCTCAAATTTCATATGTATGTCCCTTTTGGTCTCTGTTTGTGCCCGTTTGATTTTGGGGCTATCAGAAGAAATCAAATGGCCTCCAGGCGACCATTTTGGATTTGACTGGTAAAGATTATCATTGCTTTTTCAGCAAAGGTATGTTCAAATTTCTTATCATTGAGAGCAAGTACAGAGAAGAGAAAAGAAGGGAAAAGAATAAATTAAAATCAAACAGTGGTGGACACCACGATTTCTCTGGGGCCTCTTGTTGAAAATTATCATCAGAAAGTAAAATTGTGAGCTTAAAATGAAGTTTGCAAAGTAAGATTTCTTCTTAAAATGTCAGTTTTACACCAACAAATGTTAAGTCTTCCCTTCCTCTCAATTAGAGCTCTGCACTTTTGAACCTCCCATCCCAAAGAGCTTTATAAGAATAGATTCACTATTGGAGTGAAAATCGATGTTGAATACTGGGAGTGATGGGTAAATGATTGTGACATCATTTAATAACATCGGTCGTCTAGCTTTGTCTATCAACTTAAGTATTACAGTTGTTCCATTTTCTCTTTGCAGACGATACGAGGGCGGTGTGAAGGGAAATGTGACGTAAATGTGGAATCTCGTTCCTTCTGTAAAAGATGCCGTCTCCAAAAGTGCTTTATTGTGGGCATGCGGAAGGATATGATACTGAGTAAGATTGAGATACAGTTGTTGTACAAGTTTATATATATATATATATATATATATATATATGTGTGTGTGTATATGATCACTGAAGTGATAACAACAGTACAGACAAATAAATTGTCAAATTTGCGAGACAATCTGACCATTTATCAAGACACAAAATATTGCAAAACTTACATCACACACACATAAAAGAAATCAAAGGCAAAGTTATCTATTTATCAAAGAGATATAGCCTAAAATGTACTGGTATCGAGAAATTACAAAAATGTGATACCATAAAAATATTCATTCTGTATTTGATAGCTGAATATTTCTAAAATAGACACAACATATATAACATAGAACAGACAGCAACAGTCTGTTTTACAGCAGTCGTAAAATTGATAAAGATTCTTATGGACATGTAACTTATTCACTATGTGGGTAAATAGGAATGATAACTAGCACAAAATAGTAATGTCACCACATTCATAAAAGGAGTGGGAGAAGAGCAGGCTGTGATTAAAGTATTTAACTCAACAAACACAGTCTGTGTCCTGACTAAACACACACAGTCTGTGTCCTGACTCAACACACACAGTCTGTGTCTGACACAACACACGCAGACTGTGTCCTGACTAAACACAGGCAGTCTGTGTCCTGACTAAACACACGCAGTCTGTGTCCTGACTAAACACACACAGTCTGTGTCCTGACTCAACACACAGAGTCTGTGTCCTGACTCAACACACACAGTGTGTGTCCTGACTTAACACACACAGTCTGTGTCCTGACTCAACACACACAATCTGTGTCCTGACTAAACACACAGTCTCTGTTCTGACTTAACACACACTCTCTGTGTCCTTACTCAACAGATACAGTCTTTATCCTGACTTAACACACACAGTATGTGTCCTGACTCAGCTCACAAATCTTTGTCCTAACTCAACACACACAATCTGGGACTGGACTTAACATACACACTCTGTGTCCTAACTCAACACACACAATCTGTGTCCTAACTCAACACCCAGTCTGTGTCCTGATTCAACTCACACAGTCTGTGTCCTGACTTAACACACACAGTCTGTGTCCTGACTCAACACACACAATCTGTTATCTGACTTAATATACACACTCTGTGTCCTGACCTAAAACACACAGTCTGTGTCCTGAATTAACACACACAGTCTGTGTCCTGACTCAACACACACAATCTGTTATCTGACCTAATATACACACTCTGTGTCCTGACTTAACACACACAGTCTGTGTCCTGACTCAACACACACAATCTGTAATCTGTCCTGACTAAACACACACAGTCTGTGTCCTGACTTAATACACAGTCTGTGTCCTTACTAAACACATTCTGTGTTCTGACTAAGCACACACACACTCAGTGTCCTTTTCTCAACACACACAGTCTTTGTCCTGACTTTACATGCACACTCTGTGTTCTAATTCACAACACAGTCTGTGTCCTGACTAAATACACACAGTCTGTGTACTAAATTAACACACACAGTCTGTGTCCTGACTAAACACACACAGTCTTTGTCCTAAATTAGCACACACAGTCTGTGTCCTAACTCAACACACACAGTCTGTGTCCTGACTCGACACATACAGTCTGTGTCCTGACTAAACACACACAGTCTTTGTCCTGAATTAACACACACAGTCTGTGTCCTGACTCAACACACACAGTCTGTGTCCTGACTCAACACACACAGTCTTTGTCCTGAATTAGCACACACAGTCTGTGTCCTAACTCAACACACACAGTGTGTGTCCTGACTCAACACACACTCTGTGTCCTGACTCAACACACACAGTGTGTGTCCTGACTTAACACACACAGTCTGTGTCCTGACTCAACACACACAATCTGTTATCTGACTTAATATACACACTCTGTGTCCTGACTTAACACACACAGTCTGTGTCCTGAATTAACACACACAGTGTGTGTCCTGACTCAACATACACAATCTGTAATCTGTCCTGACTAAACACACACAGTCTGTGTCCTGACTTAACACACAGTCTGTGTCCTTACTAAACACAGTCTGTGTTCTGACTAAGCATACACACACTCAGTGTCCTTTTCTCAACACACACAGTCTTTGTCCTGACTTTACATGCACACTCTGTGTTCTCATTCACAACACAGTCTGTGTCCTGACTAAATACACACAGTCTGTTTACTGAATTAACACACACAGTCTGTGTCCTGACTAAACACACACAGTCTTTGTCCTAAATTAGCACACACAGTCTGTGTCCTAACTCAACACACACAGTCTGTGTCCTGACGCAACACACACAATCTGTGTCTTGACTAAACACACAGTCTCTGTTCTGACTTAGCACACACTCTCTGTGTCCTTACTCAACACACACAGTCTGTGTCCTGAATTAACACACACAGTCTGTGTCCTGACTCAACACACACAGTCTGTGTCCTGACTAAACACACACAATCTGTGTCCTGACTAAATACACACAGTCTGTGTCCTGACTCAACACACACAGTCTGTGTCCTTACTCAACACACACAGTCTTTGTCCTGACTTTACACACACAGTCTGTGTCCTGACTAAATACACACAGTCTGTGTCCTGAATTAACACACACAGTCTGTGTCCTTACTCAACACACACAGTCTGTGTTCTGACTAAACACACAGTCTGTGTCCTGAATTAACACACACAGTCTGTGTCCTGACTCAACACACACAGTCTGTGTTCTGACTAAACACACAGTCTGTGTCCTGAATTAACACACACAGTCTGTGTCCTGACTCAACACACACAGTCTGTGTCCTGACTAAACACACACAGTCTGTGTCCTGACTAAACACACACAGTGTGTGTCCTGACTTAACACACACAGTCTGTGTCCTGACTCAACACACACAGTGTGTGTCCTGACTTAACACACACAGTCTGTGTCCTGACTCAACACACACAATCTGTGTCCTGACTAAACACACAGTCTCTGTTCTGACTTAACACACACTCTCTGTGTCCTTACTCAACAGATACAGTCTTTGTCCTGACTTAACACACACAGTATGTGTCCTGACTCAGCTCACAAATCTTTGTCCTAACTCAACACACACAATCTGGGACTGGACTTAACATACACACTCTGTGTCCTAACTCAACACACACAATCTGTGTCCTAACTCAACACCCAGTCTGTGTCCTGATTCAACTCACACAGTCTGTGTCCTGACTTAACACACACAGTCTGTGTCCTGACTCAACACACACAATCTGTGTCCTGACTAAACACACAGTGTGTGTCCTGACTTAACACACACTCTCTGTGTCCTTACTCAACAGATACAGTCTTTGTCCTGACTTAACACACACAGTATGTGTCCTGACTCAGCTCACAAATCTTTGTCCTAACTCAACATACACAATCTGGGACTGGACTTAACATACACAATCTGTGTCCTAACTCAACACCCAGTCTGTGTCCTGATTCAACTCACACAGTCTGTGTCCTGACTTAACACACACAGTCTGTGTCCTGACTTAACACACAAGTCTGTGTCCTGACTCAACACACACAATCTGTGTCCTGACTAAACACACAGTCTCTGTTCTGACTTAACACACACTCTCTGTGTCCTTACTCAACAGATACAGTCTTTGTCCTGACTTAACACACACAGTATGTGTCCTGACTCAGCTCACAAATCTTTGTCCTAACTCAACACACACAATCTGGGACTGGACTTAACATACACACTCTGTGTCCTAACTCAACACACACAATCTGTGTCCTAACTCAACACCCAGTCTGTGTCCTGATTCAACTCACACAGTCTGTGTCCTGACTTAACACACACAGTCTGTGTCCTGATTCAACTCACACAGTCTGTGTCCTGACTTAATATACGTACTCGTTGTCTGGACTCAACACACACAGTCTGTTTCCTGACTCAACACATACACTCTATGTCCTGACTAAACACACAAAGGTTATGCAGAGGGAATATCAGTTTGATCAAAGTAATAGTGGACCTTCGATGATCTGGATGCAGGTTGTCAAGAAAACAAACATTTTTAGGGATTGAAACCAGTCCATAAATTCAAATACTGACTCTGGAAGTTACTTTTCATGGTGACATTTGTGCAATAGTACACAGTTTTGTTAAACACATAAAGAACCAGAGATATGTACAGCATACTGTTGGACAGAGTTTGAAGTCATAGCACCTGCTGACAGATCAGCGCCTGAAGTATCCACCTGTGGAACTTGTGTTAGAGTTAACAGAATCTCTTTACATTTCAAGATGAATAAATTATATAGACAACATCAAAGAGAAAGTCTTGATCCCTCTTTGTTTTCAAATGTTTGATAATTAATTAACATTATTGTTGTTCCGTACTTGTTACAGTTTTAAACATTGATGAAATAACCAGGATATTTCAACATTAAACAGAAATTGTTCCTGAGAGATAATTATCTGTTAATAGATAAATGATGCAGTAAACAATTCATGCACATGTAAATCATGGCGACCGTCATACGTCAATACTTTTATGTATTTATCTTACATACGTAGAAAGACATGGCCCTGATTGCTGTGATATCAGTAATGCACATGACAGTGAATTGAGAGAAAATTATAAATTTTCAGTTTTTATAGTATCTTATCGCTTTTATTACGGATGTATAAACTTTTGTCACAAGTCACTCAATTCTAAAAATAGAATCGATTCAGACATGTCCCTGTTCCAGACGACAATAAAGTTGTCTTTTTCATATCAAAATCAGCATTTGAATAGTGTCAAATTACAATTATATTAAGAAATCATGAGTTATATCACTTTTTTTTAAAGGTGTTGTAGTTGATATCAAGCAGATCTTCAATAAATCAGCTGCAAATTGGCCTTCTCTTTCACTCTGGAAATTTAACATATGTACAATTATTAATGGAAATAAAACATGAATAGGACAATGACATTCATAGATACTGGCTTTTACAGTAAAATATATATACACATATTGAAAACAAGCAACAGCATCATAGTGACAACTTATTGTCATGTACTCAAAGGAGATAACTTCAGCTAACAGCAGTCCAGAAAATTTCTTATCTAGAAAACGCTTTGTAAATTACCGGTAGAAAACTTTATTGTAAATTTCAGCCTGATAATACTTGGTTGATTTACATTAAATACATCCGATTTGAAAGGCTAAGTATTTTATCATTCTTTTAGTTGTCATATGAGTGTTAAGTACCTGATAATTTATTCATAGAAAATACCCAAACAACTTATCTTCTTCCACATGTAGAATTATATATATTTCTAAAATTATTTTTTGTTATGTTCAATGCTGTCGTATAGTTAAATACATCTACAGGAATAAATGGTAAACATAGAAATATCAAACAAATTTACTTTTTTAACAGCCCACCATCATCAGATCGTGGACTTATCAAATCACCCACCTCTGTGGTCCGTCTTTTTTTACCGTCATTATTTCATATATAGATTCCTTTTGGTTCCTAGTTGTGCTCATTTGATATTGGGACTGATCAGAAAAACAAAAGGGCTTACAGGCAGCCATCTTGGATTTTTTCAATGTTATCCCCATTTCTTCTAAAGGATGGAACTGATCTCCTTGGTCTCTAGTTGTGCCCATCCAATTTTTCAGACTGATCAGAAAAACAAAATGGCTGACTAGTGGCCATCTTGGATTTTGCCAAGTAAAGTTTGTTATCCCTATTTGTTAAGAAGCACTGTATGGATCTCTCTCAAATTTAATATGTAAGTTCCCTTTCATCTCTATTTGTGCCTGTCTGATTTTGAGACTGATCAGAAAAACAAAATGGCTTCCAGATGAGCATCTTGAATTTGTCAGTTACAGATAATCATAGCTTTTTCTGCATAGGAATGTTCAAATTGCTTACCATTAAGAGCAAAAACAGAGAAGAAAAGTAAAAAGAAAGGAAAAGATCAAAGTTTCACAGAGCAAATAAAGATCAAGATCTGGAAGAGGAGGCAACTCAAATATGTGATGAGAACTGAATTGCTGTTTTATTTGGAGATGTTTACTTTTTGTACTATTATTGAAAGTTCACCTGTTAAGGTGGGCTGATTCTTCACAATTAAAGTCTCGCACTGTCAGTCACTAACAAGAAGCAAACCTCATATGACTCAATCATGGCTGAGCTAATGTCTGTAAATGGATGTAGCTAGATCTGTACCAAATTTCCACAAATTAAATAATGTATATTGTTGTTTATATGGTGAAATCAGGCATCATTTTCTCTTAGATTGTAAGGAAATCAATTCTGATTCTCTTTTATATAAAAACATGATAAGAAATCCTAACTGGTGCTAAATATCTCTAAAGCCATTGGTTTATAACATTTGTTCTTTTTTTACCAGATGAACAACAGAAAAAAATACGGAAGCAGAAGATCATTATAAATAAGTTAAAGAAACATGGACAAATACCTCAGGATGAATCATGTGCTGGTACATCTGAGGATCTCACTGAGGAAATTGAGGCAAAGATTTGCTCTCAAAGTCTCGATGAACTACGTTCCTCATTTCCAAATCTATCTGAAAAGGATTTAGGTATGCTGACAAAATTAAAGCAAGAAAATAAGGAGGATAAAAGCCTTAGTTCAAGCCCAGATGCTCAGAGTTGTCCTTCTTGGACAGATTCAAAAAAAGATACTGAAGACGTTATCAGTTTGATGTCAGAGATGAATCGCAGTTTAGTTAGGGAACTGGTTCGGGCAAATGAGGACAGTGCCTTTCTTGCCAACACTTCAACAGAGATTAGAAGTATACCAACGAATGCTACAGAGTTCATCAATGTGGCTGAAGGTTTTGTGCGTAGAGTAATTAAGTTAGCAAAAAGTGTTGAATTTTTTAAGATGGTAAAAAGAGAGGACCAAATTGCTTTGCTTAAAGGTTCAGTTACAGAAATCATGATGTTGCGGTCAGCTGTGAATTATGATGTTGCAACGGAATCGTGGAGTCTGAGTACGAAAAGCTGTTTGAACAAAGACATGACAACTAAAGTGCCCCTTGGTTCAATTCAACCAGACAGCTCATGTGGTAAATATACCAGTCAGTCTGCATGTCAAGACCTCACTAAGCCATCCAATGTGTTCCCTCCAAAAGACAAGTCCTTTAATGTTGTGCAAGACACATCTGGAATAAAAACGGAAGTAGAACATAATGCTTCATCTACCTCGTGCTCCATCAGTGGGGACTCCTGCAACAACGATAAATCGCCTGCCCAATTTTCATCTGGTGTCGATCTAAGCAAGTTACGTGCTCAGTGTGAACAGAGAGGAAAAGATGGTAGCTCAGGAAATCCATCCGTTTCAAAAATTGGCGCTGAATTGCTGAAAAAAGGCAGCAGTGAAATGCGTGCAATGTTTATGTCATATTCCACATTCATTAAAGCTCTTATGAGAACAATCAAAGGGGATGTTTTAATGCTCAAATTACTTATTATGTTATCATTATTCTCATCAGACCGCCAGGGCCTTGAAGAAAAACAAAAGATCGAGGAGATCCAGGAATACTATGCCCAGATACTGCAGTCGTACATTTCAATACGTTTCCCTCACAATAAGGTTCTCTTTGCCAAGATACTTATGAAGCTCACTGACCTGCGGGACATCAACGAATTACACACAAAGATGTTACTCCAAATGAAAGTGGAAAGCATTGAGCCGTTGCTAGTAGAAATATTTGATCTCCCTGTCTAATAAAGTTTATTTATGAAAAGATATGGTCTGTTTGTGAAAAGAAATTCTCGTATATTTAATATACATCTATTTGTTATTTCAAGACATTTAAAAGGTCCACGGGCATCTATAGTGCTTATCTGTGAAATCTTTTTAATATGTATATTTGTTGATTAAAATGCTGATGTGGTGAGGATGTCTGGAGAGACTGTGATTAACTCCTCTGTGATTAAAACATCTTGTTTGAGAATGATATTTAATGTTGATGAAAGGTTCAGTTATAGAAGTCATATATATTTAAGATGTATATATATGTATATAAAATTGCTGGGTTTATCTAGAGAGAAGAAGATATTTAAGGATTTTAACAGTTTTTAAGAAATATGTCCTATCTGTATGTATGATCAAATATATAACTCCCTAACAAAAATGAAAGGAAATTGCTTACTTTTAACATTAGGGATACTCATTGTTGACAAAGCTGAATAGCTCTGTAGTTAGGCAGTCAGTAAAGCTTGCAATTTGAAAACTAAATTTAGTTATAAAGGCATTAAATGGTTTGCAAACTTTTTCAAAATATCAAGTAAAATGTAAAGAGAAAACAAAGTTCAAAACTAGAAAAAATAGGAGAAGAGAAAGAAAAAATGATATTGTTTTTATAAGGTCATATGACCTGAAGGGTCAAGATGACCTATAGCCGTCATGTGGTGTCCTATGTTTAAACTTTTTCTTGAAAACCTTACTCCTTTTCCATACCTGGATTGATTTCAACCAAATTTGGTCTGGTGCATAACTAGATGAAGGTTATCATTTCTTAAGTTCAGAGTCGGCCCCTAGAGGTTGAGGGACAGGGCCCCAAAGGAGGAGGTGTTGAAATTAGATTTAAAACCCTACTCCTCCTTTCTGCCTGGGTGGATTTCAACAAGCTTTGGCCTGATTCATCAGTTAGGGTAGGCAACTACTTCCTCAAATTCAGAAATTTGATTTGACCCCTAGGGACTTGGGGCGGGCCCCAAAGTAACGAAAATAGGGCAATATTGTTTTGATTCAAAACACTACTCCTTTTTAATGCTTGAATGGGTTTCAATGAAATTTGGTTTGAAACATCATTGATAGTGGGGGGTCATTTCTGAACTTCAGAAAGTTGATTCGACACGTACAGACATGGGGGCAGGCCCCAAAGAGGTTATATCATATTTTGCTTCAAAATGCTCCTCTTTCTTAATGCTTAAATAAATTTTAACCAAATTTGGTTTGAAATATTCATTAACTTCAGAAACCTGAATTCACAACGAGGGATCTGGGGTAGGCAGGGTCAAAAATGCGAAAGTTAGCAAATAATTTTGCTTCAAAATGCTACTATTTCATACTGCATGATTGGATTTCAACCAAAATTGGTGTGGAACTTGATGGATAGTGGGGAATCATTTCTTAAATTCAGCAAGTTGATTAGACCCCCTCTTAATAGGAATGACATTGACCGCTTGAAAGGTCAAAGGGATCAAATATGTTAAAATCTTTGAATGACTTCATCTCAATAACCAAAAGGCCAAGGATGCTGATATTAGGCCTGTAGCATGCTTGGATGAAGGACTACTAATTTTGTTAATATGAATGACATTGACCCACTTACAAGGTCACAGGTATCAAATGTGTCAAAGTGTTTAAATGACTTCTTCTCAATAACTAACAGGCCCAGGGTGCTGATATTGGACCAATTTTCAAGGTCACAAGGGTCAAATGTGTTGAAATACTTGAGCAACTTCTCAATAATCGAATGGCCAAGATTCAGGATATTGGGCCTGTAGCTTTCTTTTTCAACAAGCAATATGTCTGTCGTAATGGCAATTGTATCTATGTCTTCTATGTAAGATGTAGAGTAGTTGAGCAATTTATTTTAGGCCTATTTTACCTCTTTCATATATAGGTCTTTTGACTGTTAAGATTTTAGGTCTCTTGTTGAATTTGAAGTGTAATCAGTTGCGAATGCTTTATTGACTGACTTTTTTGTATTAAATGATTTTTATTGTTTTGAATTGTCTAATTGTACTGGTCATCGATCTGTTCTCGCTAAATGCTTAGAAAAATTTTAATTATTTGAAAATACTTCCAAGAAACAAAGTTTTTGAAAAATCTCAATGTAGAAAAGTTATTATCTTTCAGAAGATATACAAATTGGTGTTCATTGGTGAATCTTGTTGAATTAGCTGGCGATAAAAGTTCGGTGATTATTAGTAATGGTTTTGGATTTTTTTTTTTTTTTTTTTTGAACGTAGAATTGATGGTTTGTATACTATTGACTTTGAAAGAATTTTAGGGAGATATCTGTTTGTAAATTCCAGAAGAAACCAAAATGAAATTATGTAATAGATGTCTACACTCCAACAAACGGAAAGGTTGTGGAGAAATAACTGTCAGTTTGTGCTGATTATCATCCTCCGTGAAATGTGTCAGTGGGGGATATTAAATTGGGTTCCAACCATCCGTCGGTCCGTCCATGGTGCTGGGGCGTTTTCTGGACCACAGCTCTGAAACCATTCAACATAATTACTAAACACTTTGTACAGTTATCATGCTGGTGCTCTTGTAGTGCCTTTTGCTATGGATAAGTTCTCCGTTTTCATCTTTTGAAATGTTACCATGGAAACAGATAGACCAAATTGCAAATTTCAGTTTTATGAATCATGACTGGAAAACTGTTCAAGATAACTGCCTAAGATTACTTGTAGCATTGTAGTAGTGCCTTTTGTTACGGAGAAGTTCTCAATCTTTATATACTTTTTGGGATAACATATAAATGGGCAAAATTTCTAGATTTTGCAGTTTTTGGAGTAAAATGCCAAAACCATTCAAGATGACTACCAGAAACTTTTCTCACTTATCATACTCTTACTGGTGCTTTTTTGTGGTAGCAGAGTTCTATTTTTTTTCTTGTTACCATGGAAACAGATTAGAAACAGATTAACAAACAAAATTATAAATTTCAAGGTTTCCAGAACGTGGCAATTGTTATAGAGCTACCTGAAGCAGTGTACACTTCTTACAATCTACTCTCTTGGTGCATTTTGCTACTGAAGGAGTTTTTGTTTGGGGAAATTTTTCTTTTTTTTTTTTTCTATTATCTGTCCAAATTAAGCTTTTTTTTTTCATTCCATAAACAAACCTGATACAATGTTTTGTATATATTCCATAATAAGTTACTGACAGTATATAAAAAAGGCTATAAATTATCATTTTATTTACAATTGATGCCAAATTATACTCCAAAACATCAGCAGTATAAAATGGTCTACATCAAAATATCAGTAACAATTGTAGAATGGAGTGAATACTTGTAATTATAATACTATATGTATATTTATCTTTTATTGTGCGTCTGTTTATTAAACATTGCTGCACGAGGGATAATGTCACACATTATGTTATTTTGTGTCTATTCTATTTTATCTTGAATTTCTTAAGGTCAGGTTATAATTATTTTTTACATCAATATTGGTTGTTCAAAACATTTCCGATTTAGTTTTTGTTGATATTTAGGATATATCAAAATCCATAAATTTGCCTGAAAATAAGTAATGTGTAGCACTCTGGCGTAGGTCAAATTTTAGCTCACCTGGCCCAAAAGTTCATCGTCAGTCACCCATCTGTTGTCTGTCAATTTTTTCTACAAAATGCTACAAGTCATTAACACCTAAGGGGATTTTGACCAAATTTGGTCAGAAGCATCCTTAGGGGAAAAAGGGGACATTTTTTGTATAAACAGTGTGTTCCAGCCTCCCAGGGTATGATGAGTGTGGCCCAAAAGGGGAGTCCTTTAAAATCCTATTACTCCTGTAGGAATGATTGGATTTTTCTCAACTTTGGCCTGAGGCATCTTTAGGTGATCAGGAATTAGTGTTGTATAAATAGTGGACCTCAGCCCCAAGTAAGGGGAATGAAACAAATTCTTTAAAATCTTACTCCATCAGAATGATTGGATTTTAACCAAATTTGGTGCGAGTCATATTGGATGAAAGGAACTCAATTTTGTATGAAAATGGTAGGTCTCGGCCCCCTGGGGCAGGAGGGATGGGGCCCATTAGGGGAAAAAGAGCAGATTCTTTAAAATTCTATTCCTCCTGTAGGAACCATTGAATTATGTCCCAATTTGGTGTGAATCATGTTTTGGTGAAGGGAATCAATTTTGTATAAATGGTGGATCTCGACCTTCTAGGACAGGAGTAGAGGGGCTCAATAGGGGAAATGTGTTTGAAAACTGTTTAGAACCACATCCCATAACCATGTACAGCATTGCTAGGCACAAAGGGATAAACACAATCGTGATGTAAGACTTGACCTTAGGGTCTGACCCCATTCCTAGGGACTGATTGGGTGTTGGGTGTGGCCCGACCCCTCTGAACTTTCTGAGTGATACCTTTATGACAGTTGAAATCCCCACCCTATAAACATATATACCTATATTTATATATATATAATTGCTTGACATCAAAAGAAAAACACATTTGTTATTTAGGAATGAATGTTTGGGTGTGTCTAAAAACAGTAATGATGTAAAAATATACCTATTAGTCTTGCTCCATCAAAGGGGATACGTGACTGAGCTTTAATTTGGAAATGTTTGAAGAAAGAAAAAAAAAAAAAAACAACTATAGGCATGTATATCATTGCTTGGCTTTAAGATCCAGGTGAGAGATCCAGGCCCTATGGGCCTGTTTTTCATATTTGATTTGCCTGCAGCAGTGGCGTCACAATTTCACATTAATTTCTACATTTAGATTTGTTGCTCAAAAACATCATTTTACCAAACATCTTTTATTTATGAAATAATATTATTTTCCAGACTTTATGGTCCAGTAGCTCTGAAAATTCAGGATACTAAGAAGCTGCAGATTGTCCAAGAATTTTCTTTTTCAGAAGATGAGTTTTAAACTGGTTAAGGTATTTAATTAAAGCTGCTGTGTACCTACTGTATCACCTACTTAAAAAGTGCAGTGCTTTATCATCAGGTCATTTCGACCTTC